CTGGGCGTGGTCCCAGGAAGGACAGCTTACAGAGCTGACTCAGATGGGCAGGCAGGGGCGGGGAAGGGAGGGGAACCCACCAGTAAAACAGAAATGGAAACAGGAAAAGCTGCAATTCAGAAGGTGGTTACAAATTTAAAGACACAGACTTCACAATTAAAGTGAAAAATGTCTGGCAGGGATTGGCATTGTAATACAGCAGATTTACCTCCCTACTGCTTGAAAGATTGCTGTGCCACAAGGGTGCCAGTTCTTATTCCAGCTGCTCCACTTCCCATCCTGCTCCCTGCTAGTGAAAATCTGGGAAAGCATCGGAAGATGGCTCAAATGCTTAGGCCCCTGCAGCCGCTTGGCAGACCCAGATGAAGCTCCTGGTTTCAGACAAGCCCAGCCTTGGCCCAAGCCACTGCAGCCTTGGGGTGTGTGAGCCAGCTGATAGAAGTCTCTCCTTCCTTCCTTTTTTTTTTTTTTTTTTAGATTTTTTTTTTTTTTTTTTTTTTTTTTATTATTGGAAAGGCAGATATACAGTGAGGAGAGACAGAGAGGAAGATCTTCCATCCGATGATTCATTCCCTAAGTGAGCGCAACGGCCGATGCTATGCCAGTCCGAAGCCAGGAGCCTCTTCCGGGTCTCCCACGCGGGTGCAGGGTCCCAAAGCTTTGGGCCGTCCTCAACTGCTCTCCGGAGCCACAAGCGGGGAGCTGGAAGGGAAGCGGGGCTGCCGGGATTAGAACCGGCGCCCATGTGGGATCCCGGGCGTGCAAGGCGAGGACCTTAACCACTGCGCCACCGCGCCGGGCCCCTCTCCTTCCTTCTTTTCCCCCAATAACTCTGCCTTTGAAATAAATAATTCTTTTTTGTAATAAATCTTTTTTAAGAAAAGATTTCTTTTTATTGCAAAGTCAGATATACAGAGAGGAGGAGAGACAGAGAGGAAGATCTTTCGTCCAATGATTCACTCCCCAAGTGACCGTAACGACCAGTGCTATGCCGATCCAGAGCCAGGAGCCAGGAATTTCTCCAGGTCTCCCACACAGGTGCAGGGTCCCAAGGCTTTGGGTCGTCTTCCACTGCTTTCCCAGGCCACAAGCAGGAAGCTGGATGGGATGTGGGGCTGCCGGGACTAGAATTGGCACCCATATGGGATCCAGGAGCATTCAAGGCGAGAACTTTTGCCGCTAAGCCATTGCACCAGACCTGAAACAAACAATTTTTTTTTTAAATTGCCATTTTAAAAATTAAGAACAAATCATTATTCTAAGCAAATCTTCCAAGTTTTAACACAGTAGATTGATTCTGGTTTTGAATAAGTGAACAGAGAAATTTTTCAATGTAATAAAGTACCTATTTATAAACAGACTTAAATAATTTGAAACGGCTTCTCCAAGAATACTGAAACATGCCTAGCAATCAGTGTGTCAGCATTGCAACTTCCTTAATAACGGCTCAAGGCATTGGTATCTCTGCCTTATCTTAATACAGCTTGCACTTGAAGTTGCATGAATAGTTCCTTTGTAAGCATTATCCCACTTAACACCCAATGTCTTCCCTGCAAGTATACCTAGATGAATTATGAAAACAGATTATTAGGCAAGTATAATCACCCTGTCAAAATGTAACCCTGCCAATTAAATTGCTGTGCTTGATCAACGGCAGTGGTCACCGCGTTGCTCTGTCCTAAGTATAACTTGGCCTTGTCGCCAACCTAGGCAAAAAACAACAACAAAAAAGTCTGCTTTCAATTGTGAATGGCTTCATTTTTTTAATGTATCCAACTTGAAGGGCAACTTAGGTACCAAAGATTTACTTAAGCTGTGTTTACCGATGTTTGTGTTTTAGCTAACTGGTTGAGTTATGTAAAGAAAAAACAATCTTCAGATGGCTTGGAATTTTTTGTTGTTTACTTGCTGGCTGCTCTGCCTAAGGCGTGTGGGCAGGAAAAAGTCCTGGAGGGGAATCAGTTTGAAAAGGGCATTTGCAGTAGTCTGCCTGTTCCATAGCGAAGAGGCAGATGAAGGAATTTCTGGGTCAGACAGAAGGGTATTTTGTTATTGCTCTGAGCTCAAGATTTTAGTAATCACAGTATGGGCTTTTTTTTTTTAGGCATGAGATTTTTATTTATTTACTGAGGTTTTTCAGTTAGGCACTGTACAAGCTTGATTTGCATTAGCTTGTATTTAAAATGTTATTATTTAAAGTTAAAATATTTCATGAAATTTCATTTTGTTGTATTCAGTTTCTTTAAAAAAAAATTATGATACATTTCCACAGGCTCTGGGATTTCCTTACCCATTCCCAAAATTCCCTCCCCCCACCCTCTGATTTCCCCCATATTATAATAGTATAGACCTCCATAAGCAGTCAAAAGTCCATCATTCTGCTATTTAAGTGTATCCTGACATTGCTGGTACAGACAGTGTCAGAGCCCAGCATCCTATTGTCAAGATATATTTAACGTTTTCATTGGGAATCCATCTTTTTTTAATATATATAACACACACTCGTTTGATTTGAAATATTGATTAGAAATATTTACATAGTTGTTTTGTTGTGCCCAGATATTGTGATCCCCAGAAAATCATCAGGAGCCTAAAGTCAATGCAAATACGTGAAGGCAGTTTATTCAAACTAACCTAGCCTTCCAGCCCAGCAGGACGGGGGAGCAGTAGTGACCGCCACCGTGGCGCCTGAAGGAGGAAAAGCTGCAACAGAAAGGGCAGAAGGTCCGAAAAAAGGAGGGGCTGAGGTCCAACAGCACAGAGTTCTTACACATTTCAGGCCAATTCCATATAATTATACAGTCGTGATTGGTCAGTTTTAACTGTTAACTTTTAAAAAGAGCAAGTTCGCAGGCTTCTATTTGTGGGTTTGAAACAAGCAACTTTCAAAAAGTACAAACTGATGGGCTATAGGGCAGTGGGTCTAATGTAACACCAGGGGCCTCCATCCTGAGGAGTGTTCTGCCTACGTGACCTGCCAGGTGTCCTGCCGGGTGTCACATAGACTGTCAGGCCTGGAGTTCACACAGCTCCTGGCCAAGCAAGTAGGCAGAATCACAAAAGCAGGAAACACTTAGGTTCTTCAGTTTCTTTTCAGATTATTATTTCAGTTTTTTTTTTTTTTTTACTTGAGTTCCTAGTCACTTAGCCTAAATGTATATTTTTCTAAAGGGATGATTCTTTAGGTTACTGGTTGCCATGGAGAAGCTATAATATAGCCTTGAATCCAGAAGCATTTTCTTTCCTTTCCCAGGGTATAATAAGGTCATGATGACAACAATGTTCTAGAGCGTCCACAGTTCACCTGTGGTGTTCTTTGGCATTTGACAGTTGCAGCAGCATCTGATCATAATAAGAGAGTAAGTTTATAGAAAATGGAAGTAGACGATGCTTTGTTCTAGTGCAAGGCAGTTTTGAAACCCAAGTGCAGGAGGATCTTGGAAAAGCTCATAGAAAGTATACGCCATGGGGGGAAAAAAAACAGTAAATCAATTTCAAATTTTTTTTGTGCCAAATCTAATCCCATTTTTTCCATGATGCTTTTGAAATATCCCCATGTAAGTGGGTTTTTGTGTGTGTGTTATGCAATGTGGGGGGGGGGGGTCTTCATTGCATTCCCTATGCATCATAGGGGGGAAAAAAAATCCCACAAGTCATGTGAATGTTTTGTGAGGGCCCGAGGCAGGTGTGTGGCTCTGACAACTGCTCCTGGCATAGATTTTCTTGATACCTGGTGACTAGACTAGCCCCGGGAGGTCTGGCCTGTGACCACGGTCTCCCAGCTGCTTACAAGTTGCCCAGTGTGTGTCCTAGAGGGTGATCTTGCTTGCTCATAACCCATACCAACATTGAGAGGCCTTGGGAGATGGTGGTGGCCACCCTCGCAAAGTGGCCAGCCATGCCCCAGCGTTTTGAGTGCTGAAATTGGCTCTTGGGGGGAACATTTAGAAAAACAAAGAGGGAATGAAAATGCTGAGGCATTCACAGACACAGTCACAGTGACACAAGCGAGCTCACATCAGCCTTCAAATCAGGCATGTCAGGGAAAACAAGATGCTCAACAGGGCGTGCAAAAGCAGGCAGGACAACACCACAAAGGACATGAGTGACATCCTCGCAGACACGAACGCACGCTGTGGGCAAACAGAGCACTCCAAGCAGAAGGGTGTTTACCCTGCTATCAGGAAGGATACAAATGATTACTCTTATAGACCTGTGCAGACCCCAAAGGGAGTCAGCAGGGATCCTCTTTGAGGGGAAGAGAGAGGCCCTGCCAGGACAGACAGCATTGAGTCAAGGAAACAACACAAAGCGCTTCAAGGTTTCCTCCAAAGGTGATTGGCTGGCATCCTGTTTCTAGGTGGCAGGTAGGTTAACCTTAGCAACAGCAAGAAAGATGACAGGTCTGTGGTGGAGCAGTAGGGCACTGCCATGGGACTAAATGTCCTCACCCTAGAAAGTTAAGGTTATGTGTAAAGGGAAAGGCTGAAGGCCAACACGAGCAAGACTGCTCAAGCTGAGGCAATAATCCCTGGCCACCAGAGACCAATGATGAGGTTATTCGAGGATCAGAGGCAAGGATGGTGTGAGCCCAAAACTAAACAGACCCTACGTGGGCAGATGTCCTTACAGAAGGATGTTGAAGGGGAGAGGTTTAAAAAGGACCGCCTCTCCTGCATCTGCAGAGCTGCAGCCATTTGCTGGATGGCTTTCCAGTGGCCCTGGTGCAAGGCTACAGTGCTGGTAGAGTCTTTTGTGATGACTATCAGACTTATGCATGCGACAACCCACACTCACCACCTTCCAACTCTGTTGATTTCATTATTATTTGTTTTTAGTTAGGGCTTAATGCAAGTGATTTGATTGGACATTGCGAGATCCTCCCCAAAGTGCACCTTGCGCGTCCTGAGACCGCGACCCCTTTGAGCCATACAGCAGCAGCCTTCTGGTCCCATCAGTTCCCTGGATGCCCGGTGACCTCCTTTCTCCCTTCCATACAGAGAAGATGTCCCAAATTGGCTCTGGTGAACCCTCGCTGTGGACCCGTGCCCTGCGGCTCTAGGGTCTGCCTTCGACCCAGTAGGGAGTGCTTCCACGTGGCACCACAACCATGCAACCCCAGGATCTGCCTCCAGGCCAGCCAGGACTGCATCCGCATCCCCCAGGCACCCTGCAGCCCAAGAATCTGCCTCGGCCCCAGCCAGAGCCTACTGCAGTGCTGCAGGCTCCCAACCAGGTACTCCAGCTCGCTCTCCAGGACTCTGCCACTGCTTTCTCCTATTAAGCGGAAATCCCTTTGTCTATCCCGATCCCAGCCCCGGCGCCCATGCTCTAAATGACCCCAAAACCTAAGATTAAGAGATTTTTATTTGCATACACATTGAGTCTTGGTTTGTAGTCAACAACAGATGGCATTTGTTGCTAACCTGCAAAAATGGAGACATGCTCCCACTATGCAAGATAAATTTATGTTAAACCTGCCTGGACAGGATCCCTGGGTATTATGTGGGTTGGTGCCACTTTCCAACAATCCTGTTACCAAGGCCTGGGACACTGGAGGAACATGCTCCAAGTTTTTGAAGAAACAATGCCCAAAGCATCTTTGAAACCTGTATTGCCTCCATTTTTTTTTTTTTTTTTTGCAAAGACAAAACTAAGCTCCGTATGTTTTTTTTTTGGGCCTCCTGTGTCCCTAGATCCTATCTTTTTTGATACCCAAATCCCAGGTGGGTCAGAGGAGGTGGCAAGGGCCTTTGGAGAAGGCATACTTCTCTTTCCTGACACCCCATGACATTCCCAAGCACAGGAGGGATCCAGGACATCCTGAGTATCGCCCAAGAAGCCATGGCCCCCACATGCATGACTTGTACATGTTTGTGTGGCTTCAGTATGTGTGAGACCCAGAGCAGTGTGTGAGCCAGGCGTGGGCATATGAACAGGATTGTCTCCATGACTGTGACCCGAGTTGCTCAGCCATCCCCAGTCCACCTTGAGAGCCAATAATAGGGCTTTCCACCTTCCCATCTCTTTGAAGATTGCATCTTTAATGCATATTAGATACATTTCTGCAAGGGATCTACAGGTAGACACATTCCCCCCTATTCACATACACCAGTGTCCAGTCCATAGCATTGGTTGGATAGCGATGACCATGCTGTCCCCTGGGTTCCCGAAGAAAGTCTCTTAGGCACAACAACAGGACTTGAGAGGAAACATGGAGTGGACCAGCTGAGAGGCAGGGGCCAGGTCAGAACTCACAAATCTAGGACAAGCCACAGGGCACAGCCTCGGTCAGCCAGAAGAAGAATGGACAGCTTGAAGAGTGATCCTTCAGTAGGAAGATGTTCCTAAAACCTCACCAACGCAGGGACGCCACAGTGGTAACAAGGTGAGCCACCAGGCCAGAGGACAGCAGGTGCAGTGGAGGTACTGGGCTGGGCCCAACGTCTTCTGAGCCCAGCCCAAGGCTCTGTGCTGTTCCCTAGACTGTCCTGAGGGCCTGAGTATCCCCTCCCACTACCTGGAATCAGGGGAGATTGCAGCCAGGACCTCCAGGGTGCAACTGGGGCCAGAGGGGGCTGGGGGCAGGATCACAAGTGAGCCTCAGGCAGCTGTCGCTCTTCCTGATTTAGTGCCCCTGGCCCATGTGCCTCTGAGGCAGCAGAAGTCATCTCCCTCACCTGCATTCCATGAGAGAAACCTGCTCGCTTCCTCCTCGGTCGAATTAGGAAGCCCCAGCTCTGAGAATCCACAAGTGCCAGCCCAGAGTTCCCCTGCTTTTAAGGGCATGAACCAGAAGTCATTGTGGAGAAGCTGCCTGCAGAGCATGCTGGGAACCCTCCCCCAGAGCAGGACCTGCTGTGGGGGCTGGGTAGGAAGAGTGTCTACCTGCCTGCCTGCTAAGACAATGCTGAGCCTAAAGGTAACCCATGACCCCAGAGACTGGCACTCGATCCCAACTCGCTCACACATGGGGCCTGGCTCCTTTTCTTTGTGCCACGTGCTCAGGGTCAAACATCAGACCATGTGAAAGGAGCCAGAGGCACCTGAGCTGGGTCCCTGGATGTCCCTGAGCAGGTTGGCACCCACACCTGTAACCAGAACCTCAACACTCAGCACAGCTTCTTTATGCCATGTTCAGCTTCTTTGTGTTTAAAGAAGACACTTAAGGCAAGGAATGGGATGGGTGTAGAATCACAGGCTCATGAGAACAGACCTGGTGCCTAAAGGATTAATATATTTCCTTCTCCCACCCTGCTCCCAGCCCACAGTGACTGGGGCAGCTGATACCATGACTCCTCTGTGGTTGACAAGCATCTGAGGGGTTCCAGCAGAGTCAACAGGAAGTCCTCACATTCGATGCCTACATCCAGGATTCCCAGGGCAAACCTAGGATTCCCATTGAAGAAAAGTTACAAGGCAGGGGCGGGGAGGAGGGAGGCAAACAAAACCCCGTGGTGTCTAGCTAGAGATGTCTAGCACGGAGATTTGAGGTCCAGGAGAACTTGATCTGACAATGACATTAAAATGAGCGCATATGAATGTCCAAACAGGCAGGACTAAAATTACACCAACCTCAGGCATAATCAGAGAGGGATTCTCCAAAGGATAAAGGCATTTATGTGCAAGAGACAGGACACTGCAAGGGGACCTCACAGGCCTGGGGTGCCATGCGTGTCAACAAGGGCATTGTACGTATACGGAAGAGGAAGAGGAAGAGTATATGTTGGGCACTTGGAGGCCAAGTACACTGGTCTTGGAGATCAGAGGCAGGAGCAGGAGTCAGCTTGCTGGTGGAGGTGCTTTACTGGGTGACAGTTCCTCCCAGAGCATCCTGCCCAAGTCACTGCATTCAAAGATCAACCTTGGCACGGAAATCCATGCAGAGCACAGGCTGCACCTAGGAGGGGACTACAACACGGTCATGGAAAATGGTACTAAAAGGTACATTTATTTTGTGCAAAAAAAGTGGGGGGCATCCTTGTTGGGGACAGCACAATGATGTATGAGGCTAATCCTCTGCCCAGGGGCTTATGTCCTAGCAGCTGCACTTCCAGTTCAGCTCCCTGCTTATGGACTGGGAAGGCAAGGAAGGATGACCCAAAAGCTTGGGTCCCTGAACCCATGGCAGAGACCCGGAAGACGACCCTGGCTCTCAGCTTTGGATCAGCTCAGCTCTGTCCAATGCGGCTAACCAGTGATGGAAGATCTTATGTCTTTATCTTTTCTCTCTGTGTGTAAAATCTGTCTTTCAAATAAAAGTAAACATCTTTTTCTAAAAAGTGAAATCTTTGAACATGAGGAAGTCTTCAAACATTTATGGGAAAAAACTGTGAATTTCAATTTAGGGTGGGATAAACATGTTTATTTCTACTCTTTTTCTTTCTTTCTTTCTTTCCTTCCTTTTTTCTTTTTTAAAGATTTATTGATTTGTTTGCAAGGCAGAGTTAGAGGGAGACACAAAGATCTTCCATCCACTGGTATACTCTAAGTGGCCACAGCCAGGGCTGGGCCAGGATGAAGCCAGGAGCCAAAAACTTCATCTGGGTTTCCCACTTGGGTGGCAGGGGCCCAAGCAGTTAGGCTGTTTTCCCTTGCACACTAGTAGGGAGTTTTCTAGGCACGTTAATAGAGAGCTGGACCAGAAATGGAGCAGCTGGGACTTGAATCGGGGTGCCGGCATCATAAGTGGTGGCTTAAAGTGCTGCGCCATACTGGCCCCACATCATATCCTTTTTAAAAACTCTTATTCATTTAAAAGGTAGAGTCACGAGTAGAGAGTGACAAAAATCTGTTGGTTCACTTCCTGGATATCCATGGCAGCCAGGACTGACTGGCACGCAGAGGCCAGGAGCACAGAACTCAACCAAGGAGTCTCACATCGGTGGCAGGAACCCAAGGTCGTGGGCTGTCACTGCCGCTTCCCAAGCTGCATGTCAGCAGGAAGCTGGATCAGAAGCAGAGGTAGACCTTAAACCCAGACACAGTCAAGGCATGCAGATGCCCTAAGAGGTGTCAGATGGAGACACTGTACCCAATGCTGTCCTGCATTCCATCTCTCCAGGAAGGTTCTGAACCACACACGGAAGGAGAAGTGTCACTTAGAGAAAGTTCTCACCTGAGCCAGGCAAGCAGGCACCTCCCTCTCTGTGTGCTCTCGGCCTATTGGGAACAGCATCTTGGCATCACCAGCTTCCACAGTCACACAGCACGCACAGCTGATGGGAAAAGGGCACGATTTGAAAAGCAGCAAAGTGGTCCAGGTCACAGTAGCTGCTACTCCACACGGCGCTGGCATTCCTTATGGGCACTAACTTGTGTTCTGGCAGCAGGGTAGACCCCGGGGCATTGCTTAGTTTCTTGTGTTCTGGGTGTCACTCCAAGGGAATCACAAAGGAACAAATTTGGGAAACTAAGGGCAGAAGATCCAGGTCAGGGCTCCCCGAGGCATGGAGCCAGCATGGCAAAAACGGACCCATCTTGCCCAGTCTGAGGATAATGTCCTGAGCCCACCTCTCCCCAGGCCTCCCACCACCCTCAGTGCATGTCAACCCAACCCCTCTCTTGGTAGGTTCCTGGTCTTCTAACTCCACCCTGGCTGAGCCAGGCTGTGGGTTCTGCAAACACAGGGCTCACTGGATACTGGCCCTAGCAACAGCCCACAGGCCTTCCCCAGCGTACTCAGATCAGACCGCTCTGTCCCTGGCATTTCAGCTAGAAGTAGCCATACCTTGAACACTACCAGCCCCATTTCTGCACCACACTTAGTGCAGAGACGAGGGCACAGCAAGCTACGTGCCCTCCACAGGCCCCAGGCCCCATGTGCATTCTCCTGCCTACCACACCGCCCGGCCTCCCAGTCACACACACCTGTGGTTCTGCAGAGCCCAGGGGAAGCTGGTTTCCTGAGAACAGCCTCCCCCAGCAGCACAGGTGCCAGGTGCCATCAGACCCCTGCAGAGTGCACTCCAAACAGCAACCTCTGCTTCTCTGCAAAGCACCTCCACCTCGGAAGGCAGTCTACCTTCAGTCCTGTGTGCAGCAGGGTGTGGCACGAGTCACAGGTGTTATGGGGAACTCAGAACCCACAGGAGCTCACCAGACTGGTTCCTGAGTTCCCGCCATCTTAACTGTCCCACATGCTCCCCTAGGACCCACATTTTGCTGGGAAAGGCACAAGACTCTTCGCTGAGTGTACACAGTCTGTGGGCTCGGCCAACCCATTCCTGCAGGAGCCACCAGATGGCCTTAGGGCTGCTCTGAGCTCAGGGCTCAGGTGTGGAAGTCCCACCGATGCCCAGGAGAGAAGACTGGTCCAAGAGGGGCCTGGAGACATTGAGGGAAGCAGAAGAGACCAGAAGGAATG